CCGAAGGAGCCAGCAGCTGCCTCACTGCTACATGCAGCCCCTGGCATGTACCCTCCAGCCCACAAACCTGTCTCTGCAGGAAGGCTCTCCAGAGCTTTTAAAGCTGTTGACACAGGGGAATTAGCTCTGCTCCTGTTTCACAGATGAAAAGTTAAATGACTTGCCCAAAGACCATGTGGTGAGTCCATAGTGGGGCTAGAAATAGAGGCTGGCTCCTTTCACTCACAATCCAAAAGCTTGAGCTCATGGTGGCCTCACGTTTCCCCTGGTAGCATTTCCACGAGAAGGTAGGAAGTGGTGAGTGACGGCTCGCCACGTTGACAGACAGCTCCCGTCTGGTGCAAGTGGCTAGATCTGTCACTCAGGAGCTGGGTTTCTGGAGCACTTGAGATTTTCCTTTTGGAGCCAGAGCAGGAACTGATGAGCACAGGGCACTCAGGAAGTGCTCTTCCCTGACATTTAAGAAGGCATTTAATATTTGACTGCTCTAGGGGATGAAGAGAGGGTGCTGATTAGAGTCTGGAAGCATTTGGTACTTGCTTTTATATTTGCTTAGTTTGGTGGATTAGCTGCAGGACGTGGTGTGAGCATTTTGATGATGCAGAACCTAAGGCTGATCCCTGGAGCTGATGAAATGTGAGATAGGTTAAAAGCATCAGTGTGAGTGAGATTTCATGCTTTCTTCAGTATTTATGGCTTGCCAGCTATTTTAGTTTTGGCTTGGTTTTTAATAGCGGCCCTTCATGGATAGGTCATTTTTTAGTCCAACTTTATTTTGCTTCTATTTCTTTTTATAAGATTTCCACCTCCCTGCGAACTTCAACTGCAACTTCGATCTCCCTGAAGACCTCTGTGGTTGGTCACACGACTTGGCAACAGGTTATACGTGGTCTTTTCAGCCTACAAGCACCTGGATTGGCAACTCTGAACCAAGCCCTGAGACTGTGCCTGGTAAGATGGTTGATACCATACCAAAGCAGGGAAGAGGAAGCTGATGGGGCTTTCTCCGTGTGAACAGTATGACTGGTTATTGCACAGCTATCAGGAGTTGTGAAGGCTGTGCAGAGCTGAACGTTTTCTTTTGTGGAAGCTTTCAGATGCTTTGCTGTATGGTTCATGACTTATTTATAGGACTGTGACCGCTGGCACTGAATTGTACTAACTATCCTCTTGAGATAGCCTTGAATCAGACACTGGGCTTTGAATCCCTTGTGACCATGAAGGTTAGCCTGGGCTTTGTTCCACATCTGATCCAAATGTCCTCTGTAGGACCCAATGCTTTTTCCTCAGAATGCATTTCCTCTTTTGTTAGAGATGCATTTCTTCCTCCCATATGTTGCTCGGATTGCCTATAGTCTTCAGCTATTCTGCACTCTGGGCTTGCATAGGCTGGATTTCAGCCTCCTCCAAGTGAAGGATGAGCTAAGCCCTAAGAATGCTGAAATATGCCAGCTTCTTGCTGTTTGACTTTTGCTCTTTTTCTCTTCTGTGCTTTGGAAGCAGAAGATTTGCATGAGCGTGGCAGAGCCTAATTTATGGAGGACCTCACTGAGATGTGCTGGCATGGGTTGGAAGGGAGCCTGCCTCTGGCAGTGTGGTTGATAGATCGAGTTCTTCAGCTTCACATCTTGGAACTCACCCTGGGACTAGTGCCCTTTCCATACCCACATTGACTTTGTGGCACGGGTGGCATGAAGAACATTTGCCAGTTTCCTTATAACAGTAGACTGTGTCACCATAGCATCACTTCTCTTCACAATCAGTCATTGCTTATGAAACTCAAGGCTGCCCCAGGGAGAGCTGGCTGATCTTACCTGTCTTCAGCTCTGCCCTGGTGCCCGGTGACTCCACTGTCTGCATGCCATGTGCCCAGGGAGCCGTGCACGCTGTGGGCTCCTCCCTGCCCTCCCCCCGGTAAGGTTGAGTCTCGAGATGCAAACATTCAGGCGAACCTGTTAGCCACCTGGCAGAGGCGCTGGCCAGATTGGCAGTGCCGCCAGCCAGTTGGAAAGCCGTGCAGCCAACACCTGGTAGGCAGTGCTAAAGAGGAAAATATGTATTCCAGAAACATATGGGAAGAGGAGAATCTGCTACATCTCCACACACAAATCACCCCCACACAAACGCATACATCATTTCTCTCTTCAGCTCCTGAGGTGCTCAGCATTTTTCTAAGAGGCATGGTAGTGCTGTAAGTGCAGCCTACGTGGACATCTGACAAATTCTTTGGCGTGACATAGGGTCACAGTGTCTGCTATGGAGAAAAACATTTTCATATTTCAAGTGTTTATCTCGTAGCATTTGAGTGCTTTAGAAGATTAATATCTGGAGCTCAGTGGAGCCTCAGGCAACAGGAGAGAACACTTACAGCCAGCCCCAGACTTAATAACCCTCCCCATCTCATTCGCTGTAATAATGTTTAATTAATATAAGCCTCCTGCAAGTAGGATAAAAATTACTTATTTTTATAACTCAGCCTCAATTTTTCATTTCATTTCCTCTCCCCCGAGTCTCCCTACAATTAGTTGGACGTAGTTTCTTAGAAGACTCTGTCATATGTGCGCACGCGCCTGTGCTTGCGTGCACAGCCCGGGAGAGGCTGGTGCTGCCTCAGACAGCTCAGCACGCAATTCTGGTTTTTACCCTTCTTCTACCCTTTCTTCTCTTTCTTAGTTAGTTATGAATTGCAAAACCTCATCGCTGTGGCCGGGGGAACGTTTTCCTACTGTGATCTGGTTTTGTGCCAGCGTGGAGAGCTCTGCCTTACGGTGCTGTGCTGTGCCAGGCACCGAAGCACTCAGAGGTGCAGGCAAGCGCTCAGGCCTTGCCCAGCAAGTCACGGGCTCTACAGGCAGAGGAAGAGGAAGAGGTAGCAGCTCTGGGGGGCTGAAGTGCCCACAGCGGCGGAGGAAGTCAGCAGCAGACACCAGGCACAGGCTGAGAGATGGTTGTTGGTGCTGCCACGGGATCAGCCTCCTGGCTGGGTCAGGCAGGGATGCGCCCTCCCGGCGGCCGTGCCGCTGCCTTGCCCACGCAGCGCAGGGCTGCGGAGGGGCCGGCATGCAAAGGCATCACTGCTGCGCCTTGCTTTGGTCCTGCTTTTAGAAATTAAGAAGACATGACACAAAAGGAAACAACTGTTTGGTTTTTTCCTCCCCACACAGCTTTTAAAGCAACTCGAGAAACATGAAAAAGAGGAGATGCCGGCCCCTCGGCGGCGACAGAATCGAAGCATTGTTTGGTTCACACTCCCCCATTCTTCCCCTGCCTTTCCCTCGTGCTCCCTCCAGCACTTTGTTTCTACTTAGAAAATTCATCCTTAGACTCCAGGGAGCACAGAATGAAAAGCCCTTGTTCGGGGTGGTCTTTTCTTGTGAATTCCTCACCCTGGGGTGAGCAGTTGGGTGAAGGAGAGCAGCTGTGCTTGGTTTAGGGGCAGGGCAAAAGCTAACGGGAACTCAAAGCCGCTGGAGCCCAATTTGCTCTGATTTAAAGGTGCTGGCCCAGGCTAGAGGCCGTGGCTGCTCCATGGTAGCAAGGAAATGTGCTGTGCCTTTAAAAGCCATGTGGGATGTGTTTCTATTTCTTCTGAAAATGGCAAAACAAAAATTAAAATTAAAAGGGAAAAAAATAATGAAAGGAGGAGCCCTGGCTCAGTCTGCATGAGAGAGAGGGGGAAGGAAATGACCATGGTGAAATATCCTCTGTGAGGCACTTGATTAGAAAAGTCTGCTGAGAGACAGGCCTGAATTCCTCAGATATCTCCCGATTTCATTTTATGCACTGCATGCAATTCCTCCTCGTCTTTGGCGCGGAGAACGTCTCAAGACTGACAAGACACCCACTGCTCTCATTCCACTATTTTTATTTCCAAGATACTCTTTCAGGCAGCTCTGCATTTCTTTTTTTAGCCCTATGTTCCGTGGGCTCTTCACACCATGGATTAGCTCCACGTCTTCTCCTGCAGGCTCCCGTTACGTGTCTGGGGACCCCGTTGGTGAAAGTGGACCCAAAGTGCCCAACTTAGCAGAAACCCAGCATGGTTCCGGCTGTTACCCTGCCCTTTGCAAACCTAGAAAATACTGTTGCTTCCTTTTCCATGCCCCCACAAGAGATCACCAGGATTTTTCTCTCTATGGATTTTCAGATGCTTCCCTTCTGTAGAAAGATTCCCCTTAGCTGCAGCTAGCAAGATTCAAGGAGCAACAAGTTTAGGTTTCAATGAAGTTTCATCCCCCCTCCTGCTACATCAATGGCAATGTGCCACTGGTGTCAAGATAGAGGTCTTAAGACCTGAAAATAAATCTGGGTTGGTAAGCTGGGCACCTCAACTCTTCACCGTCTTTGAATTTCACCGGGGTCTTGATCCTGAAGGGTGTAAAGATCCTGGGTCGTATCCTTAGCTGGTAGGTGCGGTTGCGTTGCTCTCAGTGATGCTACGCTATAAGACAGCACTGAAAAGCTGGAATCGGTGTGTTTTGCCCATTTTTTCCCCTCCCCTTTTCTTGCAGTCATTACGCAAATACCTTTTGGTCCTAGAAGAGCACTGTGGGGTCTGCATCTCTACCACACGCTGCTTCTCATTCGGGTGAGCACGGCATCGGAGTCCGAGCCCTGGCAGCATTGTGAACCCCGCGTTGTTCAGATGTTGGCAGCTGTACATGCATGCAGAAAAGGAAGCAATTTTAACCTTGCAGCTCTCCTGACCACGTAGTTCTTGGGCTGGGCTGCAAAAACCCACCAAGAGCTTCTGTTGTGGGCCATGGCCTCACTGGCTTTGAGGGTCAGGAATGCTGCTCATTCGGGTTGCAGGCGCTGCAGGGAAAGGTTTATTTGTTTCAAAGCGTTTCCAGCAGAGGAATGTTTGTAGTGCTCTGAAGTTTCATAAGAGCTTATTTTTTAAGGAAAACAAATGTTGAGCTGTTTTTAAGCTGATGGTGACCCTTTACCATTCCTGTGTTTTTCCCATGGGATCTTTAAAAGGGAAAGTTTCATATTTTTCCTGCAACCCATGAGAACTTCTGCCTGAAGGCCTTGATCCTACTCTGTCCAAACCAACAGAAAGGTTTTCATGGTGTGAATGGAGAAGGGCTGGACTGAAACTGGGTCTGCACTTACTCTCATGAGACTTAGTCTCAAGCCTTGTGCCTTGGGGACACATTTTGACCTCTAGGGTCAATCCTGTCCCCTTTGAAGTAGGAGGGAGTTTTGCATGTGGGGTGGTGTGAAAGCCAAGCACTTCTGTGCAATGAGTGAGCAGCTGCACGCTGTGGGAAGGAGACCACATACCCGCTCTGTCTCTCCCCGCTCCCGCCATGTGTGGTGCAGATTGCCTCTCAGCAAAGCTGTATGCGGTTCTCCTGACCCTTGTTTGCACAGTGGGGACAACAAACCCTAAAAAGTCATTTGTGCCTTGGCTGCCTGCAGCATGGTGGAGCTGGGACGCCACACCACCCAGATCACGGGAGGTTTGCTGAGCATTGGCTGGGCTGTGCAAGTGCCCTGGCCACGGGGTAGGGCCAGGCTGTGGCCATCCTCGTGCCCGTACTGTCTTACATGAGAGAAGGGGCATGGCCATGGTCTGTCCCTGCATTGCCAGCAAAACTCCTGGGCTGGAGGCAGAGGAGAAGAAACCAGTCTTCTGGGGCTCACCCATTTCTTCGCTTCTCGCCTGTCTGAGTCCTTAGTCACTTTTTGGACCCAAACACCAGTGACACACACTGCATATAAAACTGGGCTGGAATGCTCTCTGGAAAGCAAGACACTGTCTGTCAAATCTTAGCACGTGCATCACTCCATCGCTTCGCAGCAGTGACTTAGCAGCCCGTGAGTCACAGAGCCCGATTCAGAAAAGGGCGTGTGTGCGTGAGCAAGCCGCAATGTGCAGCCTGTGCGGTGGAAGCACCAGCTCAATTAATACCTTTAATTGTGCATGCACAAACGCCGGGTGCGGGTGGGTCTCTGCACATGTGCCTTTCATGTAGGGGCATGCAGGGTGCCTGCCAGGCTGGCGGTGGACGCGGCGCGATGGCAAGCAGCTCACTTAGCATAAATGTCAGGCTCTAATTGGCATTTGGTTTGTCAGGGACACCGTGCCCTCCCTGTGCTCCCGGGGGGAGGCAGTGGGACTCACAATTGCGCGGCGCTGTTGAGGACGTGAGGCTTAATTAAGAGAGAGGATGTAATGGCCCGTCCATTAGAAAGGCTCCGGAGAGCAGGCGGAGGGCTTGGTTCTGGGCAGGTGTGGGGTTTTATGCCTTTTCACGGACTGATTTAGAGACTGAAATGGCAAGGACTTGGCAGGCTAATTAACACATAATCAAAATTGAGGGGATTTTCCAGCAGACGCAGTGATCTAGTTAATATAAATATTAGTTTTACGGAGGATTGATTTCCCTTCGTAAATGAAAGTCTGTCATTGAGGAGAGGCCTGTCACTGAAATTACAGTGAGAGCCTTTTGAGGTAAATTTGCATGATTTGCCAAAAAAAATTAAAAATACAATAACTATCCAATTTCAATCTGCATATTCATGCAGCTGCCATCCCCCTGCTACCAGAGCACCCTGCAGTCATGAGGGGATCAGAGCTGATCCGCTCCCCGGGAAAGGCAAGGGCTGATGCAGCCTCCAGTTCACACATCCCAGAAGGATGGCAGGATCTGGCCCCGCTGGGACGTCTCCCCAGCCCTGACACAGCACGGTCAGGGGTGGCATTTGGGGCTGTGGAGGCAGCACGGAGGGCCCAGAGCAGAGATGTCACCTATGGGATTTGACAGACAAGAGGTGGCTGCTGGTAGGCTGCAGCGCTGCCACTAAAACACACCGCGAAACAGGCTCTGCAGTGAAAAAGAGCGCGGTGACCTTTGGAGGGACGTAAGTGAAGGCAGTTCAGTGTGGGTCATCCATAGGAGCAGCAGCTGTATCTCAACGATATCCAGCGAGGGGGAAATGTGGAGGGAATCTGAAGTCTCGGTAATTGCTTGTGTACATCCTGCCCGACATGTTTTGCTGGAAAACCTCCAGATGTGCTGCTGAGACCGATGAGGAAAGGTGCTTTTCTTGGGAGAGGGGGTGAGACATGCAGGATCCAAGCACAGGCAGGCTGACCTTGCAGAGGGGGCGGCTGCCATGGCTCATGCTTGCAGCCTGACCCGAACCGCGAGGCTTCATCCCCCGCTGCCCCTAATGTCCTCTCAGATGGCTTGCTAGCAGGGGGGGACGGGTGCGCCAAGAGCAAACCGCGTTGGCCAGATGGTTTGTTTGCAGGGCCCGGCTGGTGATTTATCCAGGACTCACTGCCGTGCACATACAAGCGACTGCCATCGTCTGGCTGGGGATGGTTGCGTGTTCATGCTCCTCTGGCTCCCCTACATCCAGATGATCCCATAAATCTTCCATGAGATTTATGCCATAGTATCAGTTGCAAAAACAGTGGTAGGTTAAAATGCCTGAGCAGATTCATCCTGCCTTTTTTGAGCCGGCACTTTGAACTACCAGTGGCAGTTTGGTTGGGGATGTAGCTGCCGTGTTAGCTGGAATAGAGGCTGCAAAGCAAAGTTCTGGGAAAGAGATTAAAATGCATTTCTGATTCTGGAAGAATTGATCAGCTCATCGTTGCAAGGCTCCCTTCAAGTGCTTTAGCAGGGGAAATCAGTCTTTCAGGTGGTTTCTGTGCCAAAGGCTTCCATTTACTGTATCAAACAGAGCGACTACTGGAACCACCGGGCTCCCACATGCTGTTCCAACAATTAGCTCCACAGCGCCCTTGTTCAGTCAATCTCAGCAAATTCACAGGGCTTTTCAGAAGGTCCAGCTAGCCATTAGAGTGGTCCAGCCATTTCATCTTCAAATGACACCAAGTTGTGTCTGCTTGCGCTCTGCTCTCCGTTCCAGCAGCTCCTGTTACCAGGACCAGGGGCAGGAGCACATGGTACCCAAACCCACCGCCACTTGCCGGGGAGCAGCTGGGTTCATCACCCAAAGACTGAGCCTCCCCGCAGCCCTTGGGATTGCCAGCAGGTCCTGGAGAGCTCTGTGGGCTCCAGCAAGCGCTGGGCAGGCAGCACAGAAGATGCAGGGTTTGGGAGGGCTCCCGCGGGTCTGAAAGAGCCTGTGTGGATGGGGGGGCATTGGTTTTGGCTGCGGTTCAGGAGTTTCTTTGATTTCACAGCCTGATAGGAATGGGAACGAATCGGAGGTCGATGTCATCCCTGGTGGGAGGGATGTGACTCAGAGGCACACAGGCTCTTTGGCTGAAGCGGCGGAGGCAGTGATGCTGGGTACCACTGGCTCCCAGTGAGGGGTGCAGATCGTGGGGGGTGTCCAGCTGCACAATTAACATAGTCCCCTGCGTTCAGCTGTGGGTTTTGGGCAGATCCAAGGGTGGCTTGCATCCCTGCACTCAATCAGGCTGCCTAGATACTGGCACCAAAGGTCGGTCCTGAACTTTGAGGATCTGGATTTGATCCTTCTTAAGCCTGGCTGGTGCTTTTATTAAGGATTTGCCTGTGAGACCATTTCAGCTGTGAGATAATTGTGTGATCATAGTCTGATTTGCTCTTCCACTTTGTTTGTTGTTGCTGCTTTTTTCTTTGAAGAGGCTTGTAGTGAATTACAAAAAGAGGATTTTAATTCAGGAGACCTTGATGACTTATTATGCCTTATTGCTCCTTAGGCATGGAGTACAGCTTGTTCTTTTTTCTTCCTCCGCTTGTTTATCTCCCACATCTCCTCCTCCACCACTACCACTCCAAAGTAAATCACAAGAACACTCCTCCATTAGAGAACGGCATGGTACTGTTTCAAGTGATTCACTCAAGCAGGAGTGGGCAAACATGCTTTCATCTTTTCTTCTGCTACTGTTTGTTGGCATAAAGTGCCAAGTGGCCCAAGCACATTTCATAGGTGCTGGAAAACATTGCTGGAAAATGTTGCTTTTTCTTTATGTGGCCGGTCGGGGACAGATTTGTCCTTCACGCAGCAAAGTCAGTGAAAGTTCATATGGAGTGGATACGCTTTTGCAATATTTTGATCATACATCCCAGGAGTAGAGTGATGGCAAATCTTTCTGCTGTCTTGTCCTAAATTTATTTTAGAAAGCTATGTAGCTCACGGTGGTTGGTTTCAGCCCAGCTTTCTGGCAGTGACAAACTTGCAGCAGGGCCAGTGGCTGTGCAACCACTGATACATCTCCCTTGGGCTGGGATGTCACCGGATTGCTGAGCAGCAGCAAGGTGAGCTGGTGTTTTCCAGGTAGGACCTGTCTTTCGATGCTCGGGAACTGGGCTCTAAGTTCAGGTCTCTCTGGTTTCAGTTTTGGAGGTGTTTTGGGTGCACTTTGCAAACATTCTCAGTGCAGACGCTGCTTTTCTGCCATTGCTGTGGGCACTGAAGCCGCAGAAGGAGCAGGGCAAGCAGAAGGCAGGCTGCTGCTCAGAGCTTTGCCCGTCAAGTGCAGCGGGCTAAGACGTGGGGAAAGGAAGCCACAGACCCTTAGGTGTGGTCCTGGGGCAGAGGTGACCCCGCTGGGCTGCAGGAGAGCTCGCACATGCTGGCATGAAGCACCAGTGACACTTGCCCGGTGCAGCAAGAGCAAGCGTGTTCATCCCTCCATTGAGTGAAACGTGAAATACAGCAATATCTGTCATTGGCTTGTCTGTGTCACCTTGTACTGCAGGCACTGCAGTCGGAGCAACCCAAGGGACTCTGTCCTGACATTGGTCATGATGGGAGGGGGCTGGTAAGGGTCAGATCAGCTACACGCTTGGCTTTCAGTCTGTGCTAAGGGACTTCAGGCAGCCAAGCTGCAAATGGGGAACTCTTTGAGGAGGCTTCTCATCAGAGAGGGCTGGAAACCACTGATTCCAGACCAAATCAGCCGTGCCCAGGGATTTGTATCCATGGGCTTTTGCTGCTATTGGTATTCAGATCAAGTATCTCCAATTCCAGTCTCAGCCTTGAACTTCTCCTGGGATATCAAATGTACCAAATCTCCTCCCTGAGGATTGACAAAAAGCATGGCACAATTTAAAATGTAATATTAAAGCAAGTGAATCCCCTGCTGTATGTATTTCAGCTACCTTAAAGTTTGCAGCTACCCGGTTGTCACCTGTGCATACTTCACTCACTGGGACCATGTCCTTCCTCTGTGCTATGCTTTAGGGGCTGTTTTGCTGCATTACAGAAAAACCGAGAGCCAGGCTTTCATTTTGTCATGTGTATCCTCAAAAAATTGTCAGCTAGACCCTGACTGTGGAGTATTTACGGCTGGGGATGAAAAGAGGCAGGATGAACACAGCTTGTGATCCCCATCCCAAGATGAGTTTTCAGTACCGGTGGTTAGAAAAACCCAGGCTTGTTCACTGAGCAAGCTCCCAGCAGAATAAACACAACCCCCCACCAATGTCATTATTGTGGCGTTGCTTCTTCTGACAATAACTGCTCTTTAACTTCTCCTAATTACATTGATCTTCGGCTTACTGCTTTCTGGTTTTGCTGTCGGTCTCCTACCAGAGGGTAGTGGCTGGTGAGGGAAGTGTGCCCCTCGATGCCCTGCCCAGGCTGCACAGGGCGCAGCGGTGGCACGGCTTGCGATGCACACGGAGGGTGCCGGTGTGAGACCCCACTCCTGCAGGCATGGGTGTGAGAGCCTGCCCAGCACTGCCAAAGCCACCTGGCAGGAGGTGAGACACTTGCTGCAAGCGGCGCAGAAAATAATATAATGGTGTTTTCCTCTTTGAACAGACGGCAAGAATTACCTGCAGCTGCAGAGCAGCAGAAGGAGGGAAGGCCAGCGAGCCCGGCTCATCAGCCCCACCATCTATCTGCCCCGGAGCGCTGTCTGCATGGTCTTCCAGTACCAGGCGTGGGGCAGCAACGGGGTGATGCTGCGGGTCTGGCGGGAAGCCAGCCAGGAGCACAAGGCGCTGTGGGTCATCACGGAGGACCAAGGGGAGGAGTGGAGGGAAGGCCGCATCATCTTGCCGAGCTACGACATGGAGTACCGGGTAAGATGCTCGGGGAAGGTGTGCTGGGCCAGACAGGCATCTCCAGCATCTTTATTTCAGTGTTTTAGAGCCAGGGCCCATTCATCATTAGGGAATGTGGCTGTTTTCATTGTGTTTCTCGAGTTACTATAGTAACTAAACGACACTGTTTGTTATTCAGAGAGTGCCTGTCTTCTGCACAGACTTGGGCCTTTGTTCAGCCTGTTGCCTTTTATATTCCTCAAATCTCACACTTTGCAAATATTTTCCCTTCTTTTTTTTTTTTCATTTTGTTTTGTGCATTTCCCGCCCCCCCCAGCTGATGGTCATCAGATAGTCTGAGCAGAGGCAGGTGCACAGCTTCAGGGAGCAAACCCAAACCCTGCAGCCAGGAGAAGTGGGAAGCTGGGGGGGGGTTCGGCCAGCTTTTAAGGGTAGGCAGCAAACAGCCCTTCTCCAGCCTCGGCTGCAAGTGCTGACGTGGGAGAAGGAAGAGGGAATGTGGGTTCGTTTGTGAATCCGCTTCTCAGATGCCTTAGACCAGATGAGAGGGCTGGGTGCAGCGCTGTGGGGTCAAGGCCAAGTCCCCCTGTCAGGAGATCAGTGGAAGAGGAGGGATGAGCTGGAGGGAGCAGCACTGCTTGCCACAGCCGCCTGAGCCCCTCTGGCACGGCTGTGCCAGCACCCCGCTGAGAGGCTGCTGCTTCCAGGAGTGCCCTTGGCATGGTTAGCCCTTCCGGCCAGCGCGCTGTTTGCCAGGGAGCCAGGGCTGCTGTTGTCACTTGTTAATGAGCATCAGCACGGCATCCAGCACCCTCCAAAGCAAAAGGAAACACTAATCTGCAGGCCCAGGGCAGAGCTTTGACGACCACCCCAGCAGGGAGCCTTGCTCTGGCTGGCTCCCAGCCCTGACCCTGACCCGGGGAGCTGCTGCTCTCAGGCCACTGACCCCTCCAAACTGCTGCCTCCTGCGTGGGTCGATGGCTCGCACTTGGGACCAGCAGCTCTGACACTCTGTCCTGAGCACAGATAGACACCCAGCCCTTCAGGGAATTCTCCTTGCAGGCAGGCACAGGATCAGACTGCCCAGCCACGCCAGAGAAAGGGGGCACCTAAAATGCAGAGAGGAGGTTTGTGAAATACATAGCCCTAGGAAATTATTTGGACCCTCGAGAGTAGTCAGGGAGATAGAAGGCAAAAGCTTTGCACTGGAGCTGCGTGACTAGTTTGCATATGTGTGTTTGGCTTTTTAATACAATACCACTAAACGCAATATGCCTACAGATAAGAATGATGGGCACTGGATGACTACTTTGTGCGTTAAACGTGAATATACCGGCATTAGCTAAATAACAGCATCATTATGTAAATAATGCCAGTCTCTCCACTCAGCAGTTCTTAGAGCTAACGACTCTATTTATTTTTGTAAATATATTTTGCCTGTGATTAAGTAGGAATAAATTGACCCTTCTCCTCTAACATTTCAATACTTCTTATGTAATGTTGATGGGAACAGCATGTCACAGTTAATGTAGCAGTGCATTTTGTTTCCTTCCCTTCCTTTTTCTGATCGTAGCCCAGTTAATACCACGGGCCAAATCTGCTGCTGCTGTAAGTCAGTGTTATGCCACTTGCATCATTTGTGCAAGGGCCGGAGGGTGGCCTGCGATGCTGAACGTAGATTCACTGAGTCTTTATTCCATGCGAGAGACATTTAATTGAACAAATTGCGAGCCGAGTGCTGCCAGGTCAGGTAACAATCTTTCTGCCGAACCCGTCCCTGCAGAGCAGCTTTCCCTGAGGAAAGGGTGGCAGAGGCAGGGCAAGGAAGCAGGACTAGTCTCAGGTCATCCACAGGTGTGCAGGGAATGCCAGGAGCAGATCTTCTGCCCTTTCCCTTGGGAGCAGCAGCTGCTCTCTGCCTCCCAGCTTAGCATTGACGTTTCTGTCCCAACTTCTCACAGATTGTGTTTGAGGGATTTATACGCAACGGCCACTCAGGAGAGCTCGCCCTCGATGACATCCGGCTAGGCACCGACATCCCGCTGGAGAACTGCATGGGTACGTGCTGTGTCCGGCCGCGGGGTCGGGGATCGCGGTGGGGACAGCTGGGGATGGAGAGCTTTCACTTGTAGGCTGCCAGTGGGCCACTTCTTCTCCCCTGCTTGAGTTACTGGGAGTTTCTGGATCTCAGCTGGGACTCTCCTTGTCCACAAAAGAAATGAGGGGGACTCAGTCTCTGAGGGACGGGGGCTCTGACCGTGTTGGTGTGAGAGGCAGGAAGCACATGTCTCTGCAGCGCAAAGCTGAAAGAGCAGCTGAGGGTTACCGAGGACTATTCTATGTGGTAAGGACATACACCAATTTTAAAAGGAAAGTGCTGGACAAAAGAAACCAGCTGTCAGTCAGTATTACATGTGTGGAGGGGCCAATGAGTTCAAAAGGAGTCTGCTTTAATAAGAAATAAAATAGCGGAGGGGTTTTACAGCAATGTTAACAGAATAACAAAAGAAATTTTTGTCCTAGAATTCACCGTTCCCCAAACCAGGCCAAAAGCCAAGTGGATTCATTCAATGTGAAAGACAGAGAGGACTTTAAAAAAAAAAGAGAGAGAAAAAAGTGTGTTTTAGCAGTTTGCTGGTGGGGCTGTTGGCCTGCCCTGTTCCTCTAGCTGGCGTATCCATGCACGCACTCTGATGGCTCTGGTCACCATCTAGCTTGGATGTGGATTTAGAGCCATCCCAGTTGAGGATGGGACCAAGAGTATTCAATTAGTGGGATCCGTGCTGAGAGCTGCCCACAGTAGCGAGGCCCTGCTCTTCTGCGTGACCTGGGGGAGGCACGTTTCACTGTTAAATACCCGCAAAGCGTCCGACCCATCCTGAAGTCAATGGAAAAAGCCAGGTGGAGCAGAGCCTCTCTCCCCTTTGGGCTTGGAAAGGCCCAGTTCAGTGAAGCTGCTGTCCTCTCCCCGAGCAAGGGAGAGGGAGGATCCCAGTGCCTCCTAACCCAAGCGGGACAGACGCTCTCTTCCGAGGGGTGTGTCTCAGGGGAGGAGCCATGGGACAAATTGTGCCTGGGAAGGGCTGGTCATGTCGCTTGCCACGCTGTGCAGGCAGGCGATGGTGAAGGTGGTGCAGGAACCAGCATTAATAATAGAATAGAGTACCAGAACTGCCCCAGAGATGCTCTTGAGCGCCGTTGGTCCCAGTTTCTTTGATGCTTTGAACTCTGCTGGTCTCCCATCTGCCAAAGGAGCTAATACTCCCTATGTCAAATTCCCTGTATTTAAGGCTTGACAGTGGTGTTTTAATCCCTTGCCTTCTATGGCATTAAAGAGAAGCAAGACTGATGATTAACACTAATAGCATTTCCTATTAACTTCTTTCGAGCTCAGCAATTCACCTAGCTCCAGTGTTACTGTATCTTGGGCCTAAAGCTTAATATTTCAAAACAAAAGCATTAATAAATTATAAAGTTTCAAGCGTTGCCAGCCCTAAAAATAACACCAAATTGCTACACAAAATTATTTGTCCCATTCTAGGAAGTTGAATGGGAATCTTAAAGCCAATAAGGATAGTTTATTTCAAATCATTTCTAACAAAGGGCTCCCACTGCAAGCTTTAACATAACTCATGGGTCATTTACGATGTCACCAAAATAATAATGAAACGGTAGAGATACAGTGCTGCTCTCTCTCTGTCAGGGCCATGAGAATAGCTGACTCCAGCACAGGCTACTGTTTTTTCAGATGCAATCCTGGGAAGTAATCTGATTCCTTTTTAGCGTGAAAGAACGCTAATAAGTCACAATAATTTTTTCCTTTGACAGATGTGTCGTTTGCATTCTGAACTTGAGTGATGATTTCATAGCACTCAGTAGAGCCAGAGTCTGCTTCTGTGACTCACAGGCACAATGCAGAAGTAATCTAAAAATGATCAGAAGTCTATTGCTTCTGCGAGAAAGTAATCAGTAATAAGTACTGATTATTGCTTTTCAGATCCAGTAATTTGTAAGAGATTACTTGAAAGTATCTTGAAAGAAGAAAAAAATCACTTGCCTGTGTTTCTTGGCACTGTGAGATGGAGAGGAGCATGGCATCGATGCCCAGAAGTAACACAGTTCCCGTGTGACTAATGATGCCAGAGTTGAGCCAGAAACCAAACTGATCTTGGAAATTTTAGGGGGTTTCATCACTGGGCCAGGTGGGGCTTTGTCTTTGGATGATTCAGGCCAGCCAGCTGAATCCAAATGACCCTCAACTTCGGACATATTTTTCTCTGAAGTCTGTGTCTGAGTTGAAGCTTATTGCGTCTGGTCACTCCTCAGCCGAGACAGGGTGTCTGCCCATCCTGGTGAGGTTGGCTAGCACCCCATTCTGGGGGGCACAGCCACAGCCACTGCTCTGCTTGGCCACTGCAAATCGACAAAGACATGAACTGTGGCCTTGTAATATTCCCCTCTCTAATACTAGGGATTTTTTTTTTCCTTTGCAGAACCCATCACAGCTTTCCCAGGTGAGAACTACTTTCCAGGTAAAACTGCACTTCTCTCGGTGGTTTCTTTCTGCTGGCATGGGCTTTTACATTGAAGGAAAGCAATGTGCGTGCTTGTACAAACAGCAAATGTTCTGAGCAGTGAAATGGCAAGCGTGTGCTAAACCTCCCCCGCCACAGCAGCAGGAGGTGACACCCTCTGACTCCTGCTAGGTGACAGGGAGCAGGCAAACAGACAAGTCCTACTGTCTTCGGGCTGAATAGCACTAGGAAACCTGCTATCACGGGGCACCTGGCCTCCTGAAGAGCAGCTGAGCCCAAAATGGGAAGGCTGAGGAGTAAAGGGTAGTTATCAACTGACTTAAATGAAAAACCAGTAGCCAATTAAAGGTAAAATGAGGTGGCAATGACTTGCATTAGTGTGGGGGAAGGTTGTTCTCTAGTTCATAGATGCTCTGGCAGTGGTGGTGTTTGAGCTGCTGGTGAAGGAGGGTGGGGCTGGTCTGCTTGGAAGGGGAAGGGAGTTGGGAGGTAAAAGTGGGAGAGCGAACTGCTGTGAGGAGCTCTGAAGGTGACAGTCAATAAAAGGAAAACAAGGTGAAATGGTGCATTTAATAGCTTAATACTAGCCTGAAGGATAGAAACTGGCATTTCTCTGATCAAACCTACAGAGTAAGACAAAAGGTGAGGAACACAGAAAAACTGCCTTGCTCTTTGAGCAGTCAGTGGGGATGTTGTTTGTCTTGCTCTGGGGTGAGAAAAGCTATCTGCTTTTGCAGGGAAGATCAGTATAGTCTGTTGGAGAGGTTTTTTTCCCCTGTTTTGATTTTGGATTTTGTCTTCCTGCCTGCCTTTTCAGGAATGCGTCTGGGGGTTGTGTTGTGATGAAGAGCAAACTTGGGGCTCCCCTTACTTTGAAAGTTGTTTTGCCAGTTCAGTCAATGCACCCTTTGCTTTCACTTGGACATGATGTCTGTACTCTTCCCATCCCTTACTCTGCTGGTGGGCTGTAAGATATGGCTGGGCTCTACCCTAGAAGCAGCTGCATTTCTGTGCGGGGCAAAGCTGTCTCTGGTAGGTATGTGTGGTGGGAGCTGTGGCAGTAAAGGAAAAGTAGACACCAAGACTGAGGTCATGTGCGCAACTCCATCCCTGGGGCGTGAGGCAGGCTGTGGAGCGTTACCAGCGGGAAGGACATGTGCAGGGCATAACACCATGTTTTCAGTCATACCCATAGTGTAACAACTAGGAATTTGGGCTTGCTTGTTTGTAGGCTGCTTATTTATCTGCTACTCAGGCTTGTGGTGTTACTGAAAAGCTGCTGCAATATTCTCAGCTGACAGTTAAAGCTTCACGACCCTTCCTCACTTACACCATCTCTCTGTGTTCTCCTGATCTGTTACCTATTTTGCAAACAGCATCCTTGTCTTTTGGGGCTTGTAACATGCATGTCATATTCCGTGTGAATCTCATTCTGGGTTCTCACATTGAGTTATCCCAAAGTCATGTTGTTTCTTTTGCCCTTCACCTTGTATGCCCTGTTGTTTCTTTTGCCCTGCTGCCTGTATGCCTCCATTTCCCCATCATATTGCGCAGGACACACTGGCTGGGTAGGGACAGCGTTTGCTGTGCCCAGCACAGTGAGGTCCCTGAGCACCACAGGCAGATGCTGTTGCAGGCACACCTCCCCTTCATACAGGAGCTCGCCAGCTTGTGCCAGTGGGCTCCTGCCCATCGCTGTCTCCCTGGAGGACATCCTAGCGCTGCTCACAACAGGGGAGCAATTGCAGCAAAAGGTTGAAAAGGTTTCCCTGGCTGACAGGCAGGAATAGGTGGGGCAGAGGGATGGAGTGACCAGGAAAGGAGCAAAATGCAAAGGGAAAACATGAAGAAGTGAAAATGAAGATTGGAGAAACCAAGATAGCAATTAAAATGAGGGAAAGACAGAGATGCTCAACAGGAGGAGAGGGCAAAAGAAGGGGAAGAAGTCCCTGGCTGGATAAAAAAAGGGAGCTCAAGAGGAAAGACTGTGCAGAAAGTATTGAGATGTTCTGTAGCCCCCACTCCTGCAATTACACGATGAGCTGAAAAAGTTGGATGCCATTAAAAATAATAGCAAATCCTTCCTCTCCTGGCTTGGGAGCAAAGCTGAAAATATGCACCTTACAGGCTCCAGGATCACAAGGCAAATAACAAGAAGAGAATTGTGTGGGTGGAATATCTTTCAGCTAGTGGGTCGGGATCTTACAAGACCAGTCAAGTGTGCTTAAACTGTGCTGCATTTGAGAGTTGATGTATCTCACCCATAAAGAAAAGGTATAACAAGTGGCTGGAAGCAAGGAGTTAGATAAATACCAGGCTAAAAATAAGAGACATATTCCAAAGAGCATGGAGACAAACTGCGGGGGGAATTTGCCTTTGGGACTGGTGGATTCTCCCACACCGGATATCCTGAAATCAACACAGGGATATCTTCCTGGAGAAATGACAGGTAGCAATTAAGGGGTTGAGGCTGACACCAGTTTTCTGCCATTCAGATTAGATGAGTATAATACTCACTTTCATCTGTGCCATCTGTGAAAAGTCCAGCTCTGTTGCTTGTCCACAGCGATTAATGTCCGTGATCTTGGAGAGGAATACGAGCTGTGACATGACAGCGGCAGAGCAAGGCAGGCAGCCCTCTAGGAGGCTCTCTGGAAAGGATTTTCTCCTTTTTTTCCCCAGATTACTTTTGTTCTTGCTTCTTTTGGGTTTTGATTTCTGCTACACAGCTCTAAAACTGGTCCCTGTAGATAGAGTCTTCCCTGTTGGGAATAAGAGGGGGCTGTACCCGGCCAGGTTGGAGGTGTGAGCGCAGCAGCACACCCACATGAAATCATCCATCCTGTAGGGATTAAACTGGGTTTCCACTGATTGATGTCCCCAAGCCGTGCATAAACACAGCACCCACAAACTTGACAGCAACAGCAGGAGGCATTTCTTTATTAAGACGAGAGCGCTAGTGAGTAAATGAAGAAGGGCAAGTGTGTGTGTGTGTGTGTGTGTGGCAGAAGGCAAAGGGGAGTGGAAAAATTATTAAGTTAAGAAGATGGATTTTTTTTTTCCATCTCCCTGAGCAGAGAACTTTTCCGCTGATATAAGAGAAAACTTCCAGAGAGCAGCAGAGCCAGTAAAAACAGAGCAGATAACATCAGCGCTGTGTGCTGAGTGGATGGGCAGCTATATTTAGTGGCTGACAGTGTAAGGAAGAATCATTAATGTTGGGAATTGGCTTCGTTAAGGCTTAGAGACAACTGAGTGTGATTCCTTAATGACTTCAGTTGCTAAATGAACTCTCCAGACTTCTGCTATCTCCTCAGCCGGGCCACAAGGTGCGGAAATGGGGGCTGAGGAGGGGCTCTGCACCACCCCTCATGCTTGCAGCCCTGGCTGCTGCACGGGGACATCTGGAGCGGGCCAGAGCCAAGCAGAGGTTGTCCTGAACCCACAGCTGCCTCAAGATCCCCCAGGGATCCTTCCCACAAGCGAGATCATCTGAGGTGCATCATGCTGCCTCCCTCCATCCCCAGGCAGGGGGCAGAGGTGCATGGGGAAGGGGCAGGGTGTGCAGGCTGGGCACCACAGCACATCCTCCTCTACGGCCAGACCCCCCTTTTGTACTCCCATCCTGGCACCGGGCAATGTACAGCCATCGGGAGGCCATGGAAACCTTCCTCCCCTCTGTTTTTCAGAGGGGTGCGCTGCTCCCCTGCAGGCTCAGGAGCCACCGGCACCCCTGACACCTGCCCCCCTCTCCCCATCCTGGTTTCCACTGGCGGGGCCTGATGCATATCAGTGGTGTGAGAGTCTGTTCGCCTGTAAATCTCTCGCTGGAGCAAGGCACTATGTAAAACAGAGACTGTCACCAAGCATAAACACGAGCGGCCTCTGCACAGCGAGCAACCCCGCGATCTTCCCAGGGGTCGGTCCCACACCCCGGTGCTGTCAGGCACAGGCGAGGTGTTGCTGATCCATTGGGGATGGCGGTGGGATGCATATGGGTCTGGGGCGGCTCAGCCAGCTGGATCTGTGGTGGGAGACAGCGGTGGGTTATCAGTGAAGCTCAGGGCAGCGTTGAACATGCTAACCCTGGCAGGGGGCTGGCGGCGGCCCCCATAGGGTGTCCCACACTGCCACCCCCCATGCAGCTGGTCGGGGGGGCAGCTGCTTGGGGAGGCACAGGGATGCGCTACTTTTGTTTCCCCCATGCCAGGGTGGCCAGTGGAGGTAGAGAAGGAGGTTGGAGGGCTGCCTGCTCCCTGCCTTCGCCACCCCGAACACACAGCCCAGCCGGGACCCCCTTTCCCCAGGCACCGTCGGGGGGCAGGAGGGACAGGGCCACCCTCATTCCTGGCAGCGAGGGGCAGCTGGGCTGAGACAGGGTGAGGGCGGCGTATCTGGCAGGTAGGTTTCTCCTGAGACATTCGAATTTCTTGCCTACAATGACAAATATGTGGGTGGTTCCCAGCCTCCTGCTCTGTAAAAGCAGGATTTGTCTTGCCTGTGTGGGGTTTTTTCCTTCATTTTGGGGGATTTTTTTGTTGTAGCTATACATCTGGGTGCAGTGTTTATTCTTATTTTTACTCCCTGTGCCGGGGTTTTGGGGGATGGGGAGGGGAGGAAAGCCTTGTGACTGGCAGAGGAACCATCATTTTGCCACATCTCCTGTGCTACCAGCAGCAGAAAAGCTGTCGCCATCCCAAATTTGCCAGCCGATGGCTCTGCTGGCCGGGACGAAAACACTTCCCCCAACCAAAATTTCCCCAGCCGATGGCTCTGCTGGCAGGGCAGTGTTTGGAGGGGAGGGCAGAAGCCGTGCTGCGAGATGCCCTTGCTGCTAGCAAAGCCGGGTGCATCCCGCACTGTTTCGTTTTTTCCCCTTGGCATCCTCTGAGCCTGCTCAGGAAACCAAGCTGGAGTTTGGTTAGCGCAGAGCTCAACAATATGCTGACACCAAACGGCTGGGGGGGGGCTGCCCCCCG